TAAGTATTAGGTCAAAAGTCATAAAAAGATGTAAGAATTTCGAATATGAAGTTACCAATTTCATGGAATGTTGAAGTTTGAGATGCTGAAATATACATAGTTGATCTAGTGCCTGTGCACATGCAAATTCACCTCATGCTTTGTGAGCAGAATGTAAGGATCACTGCAAAAACAGATATTTTCCTAAGAAACAGATCATGAGAAGCTATAAACTCATGACTGATATAAATTGATTCTAAATAGAACTTCTTCTATTCAATTTGATTATAACTAATAAGAGCATGGTAAAAGCTACATTTGCTAAGATCTGCTGAGAACGCTTATTCACATGTAAATCTTTCTTTCAATTTTTTTTATGGTCCTGTGTCTGATTCAGGGTGCCTATCCTCAGTTAACTTTAAAATTCACTCCCATTTACACTATATACTGCCAATGATCCAAGCACCCAAAAGGAGCTAATTATCCTGTCTATCTTTTGCTAAATGTAGAGCAGAAACGATTCACTAACAATCACTGTAACTAAGCCCTTTTTCTCCTAGTCGGACTTAAAGCCTATGCAGTCTTTTAAAAGCTACCAAAAATCATAAAGGTCCCATCACAACTCACAACTACTTCTGCCAATTAACTCATCAGTTGAGGTCTGAAAGATAGCAGGAAGGGCAACTATTAGGCTTGCAAGGAAGATATTCAATAACAATCCACTTCAAAATTGGAAGCAAGAAGTTCAGTAAATACCCACTCATGTACAGCAACTCATAACTATCACATAATCAGGGAGTGGTGGCAAACTAGTAGTATCATACAAGCATTTTTTTAGCAAAATGGAAAATAAGATATAGTGCAGAAGATGTTAGATTGTTAAAAGCACGGATCAAATTATTAGTAGTTCAGCATGAGATTCAAGACTATATATTCTCCATGAACAAACTTAACAACTGCTGGAATGGGCACCATTAGATATATCAACAAGTATCGTCAGCTAAGACTAATATACAAACAAGAAAGCCCAGTATACACCATGAAATCCATGTCAGCAAAATTCAAAATCTAGTCCTCATGCTGAATTTAGGCAGCTCACCTTCCAGGAATAGAGTTCATATCCCCACAGATAAAGAGAGGCATTCTTGGGTCAATAGTCTTTTGGCTCAATTCTATTGCATTGATAAGATCAGAAACCTTTGCATACAAAAAGATCCAAAAGTCAAAGTTCTGTATGCCAACATCAAAATATAGATATAATGCCAAAATCTAAATCTACCTGGAGCAACTTCACGTCAGCGAAATTCACATCAGCAAATATGTGAGTATTAACCTGCATATTAAGAAAGTAATCAGTTGGAAACATGATTATTAACCTACAGTGGGCATCTAATAATCAAACAGCATCTAACACAATCAATGAGTAATAGAAATTTAAACAGCACCACACAGAGTCTAGAAGAAGATGCAGCACTCTTAGTAGATGCAGCACAGAGTCTAGAAGAAGATGCAGCACTCTTAGCAAAATTGCCCACCACCTCCAATATGACAATAAGAGCTACATTGTCCTGCCAAAGAAATATTCAAAAGAAACAATGATTACGAGGAAAAAAAATCCAGCTCCACACAATTTAATGAGTAAACTAAATATGAATATAGACCTTTATCAGACGCTTTAAAGCATCTTTCCTCAAACCCAGTTCTAGTTTGTCGATCAGCGATAATGCAGATTGACTGAACTCAAGCTACAACCAAGGGAAAAATATCATATAAAAAAAATGTATAAACATCCTTATAAATCAACAAAAACCCCTGGAGCATCTTTACGTTACCTGATATGATTTAGCCTCCATAAATATGTCATTGCGATAAAACGTGGCACATCCATCAAATGTATAACCACTACCCAACGTACAAGTGTATAGCTGGGTAACATACATAAAATAAAAGACATGAGAATATGCATAAGAAGATATTATTGACCAGTTGATTCATCTATCTTCCCCAAAGCCTAGACATATTCTCATTCAAACTGAGGAATGAATAGTTGCACACAGGAGTAAGAGTGGTCCAATTATTTTCTCATGTTGCCAGCCAGAAGCAGAAAAGACCAGAATCTTTAGCATGCAAAGAAGAAAAAACAACAAAATTGGAAATATACCCCTGTACCAGTCTTTTTCTTGTAGGCAACAGAATAGCCAACTTTCTCTAGCTCTGGCTTGAAGAAATCTCAAAGTGATCGCTCTGAACCTGTTAAAGACACAATATATAAAATTAAATGGTCTTAATTTATGATTAAAATAAATAAATAAATAAAAAAATTCAACGTAGCAATTATTCACTTCATATATGACAAATTTTGCAATACAACTAACAGGGTAACAGGTATATCAAGCATAAACAAGTAGGATGACAAATGTTCATGAAAATCTGTGAGTCATTACCTCTTGAAGGCACAAATATCTGCATCATATTGTATCAATTCATGAAGCAGATTTTTCCGGCGGTATTCCCATGTTAGAGCCCATTCAGGACAGTAAAAATATTTGTCCATATTAACACAGACGTGGGACAAAATATTATAAGTTAGAACAGTAAAATTGCCAACTTTAGAAACCTTTTCAGTTAGGTCACGCTTTCTCAGTATTCAGTGAATCTGGTAGCCAAATAAGAGAACGAAGCGGCAAGTTTAGCCTCTGAATGGTAGGGTCTTTCACAAAGGTCTCTTCTGCACACACTGCTGCTCGTAAATGGTGCGGGCTAGCAGATTGAAGCTTAAAACTAAAGCCAACACCATCAGCTGATGGTATTAAAGCATTTGAAGGCCCACCTTGTTAACCCACATCCTCCCAGTTGGTACAACCACTTCTATCTTTTCATCAAACCATGACACCATATCTCCGGGTGGCCAAAAATTACATCTATTTAGAGTTCCCCGCGCTTTAGAATCCTTCTTGTTACAAGAATTGCTAACATTAGCATTACGATGACGCAAATAATGATTCTTCCATGCATCTAGGAAACACTTTTTTGAGCAATGATAACTGTGTTCGACAGGCAGTCCATAATTTACACATTCTATACACTGTACAGTTGCTACATCATTGCTGTGTATAGAACAATAAGGTATGTCAGCGTGGTTAATGGTATCAGTACCTTCTCCTGTAAGCCTGTGTATAGTTGATTGCAGCTTTAGTGACAATAACAATCAAATTTCAGAATAAAACTAGATGGAGGGAATAAAGAAAATTTGAAAACTAGCCCAAGTAAAATATGAAACAAAGGGCAGTTACATTTTTGCCCATTCATATAATATCACAATCACATACTTCGTATTCCTATAAAAAATAAATAAATAAAACTGTCCAAAATTCATATGAATGATTATATCCTAACTGTATATACAAAAAAGATTGAATTTGTGTAATATTAAAGGATTCATATTTTTAAGAAAGTATTATTCCCTTTTATCCCACTTCATAATTCAACTTAAGGAACTCCATCAAGTACTTAAAATGACCTATTAGATGGATAGAGGGACAAATGGACAATATTGAGTACACATTTAAATTATTTTCCTTCCTGTACACATTCCACGATCGATCACTACCTCCATTTTCTTGAATAGTTACCGCTTCGTACCTACTTTAAGGATTCATACGTTACACGGAATATTTAATAAATCTCTTACTCTCGACCTCACTCATCAAAAAAAAAAAAAAAAAAAAAAAAAAAAAAAAAAAAGTAAAAATAACAACACTTCTCGAGTTCTCTCCAGTTTCTATTGCTAGTCATGAAAATGAAAGTATTACATTGTTAATTTAATCACAATACTCCATAAAACAGAAAGTTGTACTACAATTCAAATACCTTGATTCCAAAAACTTCAGAAGTTACAATTCACATTCTTGAAGTATATAATACAAAATTTAATCAAATTCACCGAAAATTGCAGCATACATTATAATAATAAGCGCAAATAAAGTAATCAAAAATTTTCAAATACCCTAATTCCCAAAACTTCAGAAGTTAGAACTCAAATTCTTTAACCATATACCACAATATTTAACCAAAATCACTAAAAATTACAGCATACATTATATAATAAACTGATCAAAATTGTCCAAAAACAAAGAAATTAAGATTATGTAAACTAACCCACAAAAGAAAAGAGCATTTCTTGGACCATCAGAACCAGAAGAAATTGTATAGATTCACAGTGGATCTTTTTGTATACTTTGAATAGCCATTTTGATGATTGAATAGAATGAAATTTGATGTTTGATGATTGAATAGAATTTTTTTTGATCAAATTGGCAACATTAATATCCAAGAAGAAGATGGCAGAAATTTTTGTGAAATTGGAAAAATTGTTGCAGTGAAATTTATACTAGTTTCGTAGCAACATTGAAAGAATTAAAGGATTTAAAATCACGAGAGAAATTTCGGTTATTTGGTGGAAATTTGCAAATTGCAATGGTTTAGTGTTGGCGGGGAAACGAGGGGAGAATGGGAAATAGTCTGAGAAGTTGAGAGCAAAGTTGACCGTCAATGTCTTGGTTTGAAAAAAGTACGGGTTTAGGTAGTCTAAAACCGGATTAAAAAAGGTTAAAAGGGTTGCTCTAGATTAAATCATGATAAAATTATGCGCATTTTAGTGTAATTAATGTTTGATTATCTTATTATTTTCTTTTATACGTTCTAAATGTAGCTTAGGGTTGCGTTTATTACTTTGCTGATTAATATCATAGGTTATAAATAGTACTCAATTGAAATCTTAAAGAAAAAAAAAATCTATGTAAAATATTGAAATAAAGGAATTGTTACAAATAAGTATTTCATTTATATTAATAATACAAAGTATATACATAATACAACGTGCTTTATTATTATGTTTACAAATGAGCCAATTGACACCTCTATAGTATTCAAAATTTTAAATTAAACTATGGGGAAAAAAAGTTGCATCATTGATTTATTGGTTAGTAAAATGTCAAAATAACACAAAAACCACGATGATGTCACTAATCCAAGATTTCATACTTGTATAGTTGTATAGCTTGTATTACAAATTTACAAGTAGTTTTTAGGGGCTTTAATTTAAGCCTTCAACACACCATTTCATGTCACTGATTAGCTTTCGTATACAAATGCTCTCTCTCCTCATTCTCTTTTCACAGTCAAAAACTTGGCGGTCCTTTTACATTTTCAAACTTCCAGAGAGAAATAACAGAGGATGATGGGGGAAGCAATTCAGACTCACAATGCCATACGCTGCGCCAAAGCTGCTATGCTGCTTTTCTTCCCCGAAACTTGCATCCAAAATCAGTTTTCTTCTTCTCTCTCTAAAACAGTCTCTGAAACAAGTAGAGTAAAAATGAATTAAAAGATGAATTAAGGAGAATACTATCATCATTAGACATCTGGACTTCATGAGATCGTCTTCAGAGAGCAATTGGGAAACATGACGGACACCAGATGAATATGTGGTTTCTTTGGGTATCGCGAATGTTCTAAGATCACAAGTACATCACTTGGCTAGTAGAGACTAGAGAGCACTATTTAAAGCCTTCAATGTTCAATGTGAAACACATGTAATAATAATACATTCATAATACAGCTTCCCAGGGTACAAAAATTTTCTTGACATACCATCATATGCACCTTGCAATTTCACCAAGAATGGTCTAGTAATTCGAAAGCTTCCCATGAGTGCAATATGGTCTGACGACCACAAAGGGGAGGGAAGCGCTCTTCCCACACTCTCAAAGTCAGGGAGCTCCAAGAGCCCTTCAACTTCCAAGCTATCCACTGTAAGAACAAAATATAGAATTAACTAAAACTAATTTTTAAAACAGAAATAAATTCAAGTTGATGATAGTTTAAAATATGGTGACTAATGATATTAATGAAGTGACTAAAGAAAAGTGTAGGTAGGTTAACACATGGCACGCCTCTGGTAGAATGAGTTTAGAAACCAATGAATAACTAGTGAACAAACAGACAGGTCAAAAAAATCATTCAGCAGCAAAATCTTTGATTAGCAACTACTCTGTACCAATAAGTATTACTGCATAGCAACAACAATCCTGAGGTACAAAAGCATGATCAACTCCCAAATGAAAACATGCACAGTAAGAAAGGTGATCTATATAATAAAGTGGATTATAAGGTTGAGAAAAGTTACGATTCTTGAGAAGATAACAGTCTATACCATCAATCCATTGGATAAAGCTCCTGAACAAAAGATTGGTAGGGTCTGGGAGTTTAGGAACCATATAACCATACCCCTTCCAGGAATCAAGAAAAGATGACTTTGTAAATAGCGGGAAGGGGAACAAAAGTACAAAACATAAAAATTTAGGCTTTGGCAAAACAATACGACAAATGCATAATTTGAAAAAATACCTGTGTAAAAGATATAATCCAAGGTGCTACCATAGAAAGATGTTAAACTGGTGAAAAGAGGCTCCCCTGTTTTAGAATGCTTCATTTTCATCCTTCTTCTTTTGATATCATTGACAGGCTTGGGAAATGTTGAAGCATATGCACTGGCCTGCAATGAAGTACTCACTGTAACAAAATATAACCATAGGTGAAAATAATTTGGGATAATAGAGAAATGGAGCATCTAATCAGTACCATCAGACACAACATCACTACTACAAAAACACCGTACATACAAGAGTTGAGGTATTGTGTCAAATAAATTGATATAGAATTTCAAATCTGAAGTTACCAATTTCATTGAATGGTGAAGTTTGAGATGCTGAAATATACATAGTGGATCAGGTGCCTCTGCACATGCAATATCCACCTCATGCTTTGTGAGCAGAATGTAAGGATCACTGCAACAACAGATCTTTTTCTAAGAAACAGAACATGAGAAACTATTCATGACTGATACAAATAGATTTAATGGATCCTTTTTCTAATCAATTTGAAAATAGTTGTAATAAGTGGAGAGCATGGTAACAGGCTAATTTGCTAACATCAAGAATTCTAGTTCACAGATAAAAGTCTTTCTTTCCCTTTTTTTTCCGATCCTGTGTATAATTTAGGATCTATCCTCAGTTAACATTAATAATCACTCCCATTTTAAACAGTATACAGCAATTAGCCGGTCAATATATTGCTCAATACGGAGCAGCGACAATTCACAAACAATCACTGTAACTAAGCCTTTTTTTCTTCTTATTGGACCTAAAGCCTATGCAGTCTTTAAAAAGCTACCAAAAATCATCAAGGTCCCGTCACAACTCACAACTACTTCTGCAAGTTAAGTCATCAGTTAAGGTCTGAAAGATAGCAGGAACGGCAACTTTATAGGCTTGCAACTTTGCTATCAAGAAGTTCAATAACAATCCACTTCAAATTTGGAAGGAAGCAAGCAAGCACAGTAAAAACTCACTCATGCAACAGCAACTCATTACTATCTCATAATCAGGTAGGGGTAGCAGACTAGTAGTATCATACAAGCATTTTTCAAACACAATGGACATAAAAGTTTAGCGCAGAAGATGTTTAGATCTTAAAAGCATGGATAAATTTACTAGAGTAGTAGATCAACATTAGAAACTGCTGCAATGGGCGCAGTCAGATTTATCAACAAGTATCGTCAGCTAATGTTAGGGTTGTTCATCCTAAAGTCCCACATGGAAGAAATAAGCAATGACTTCCTTATAAGTGGAAGCACACTTCATTAGTATGAGGCCTTTTGGGAAGGTGCCCAAATACAAATCCGTGCGAGCTAGGCCCAAAGTGGACAATATCATACTAAGGTGGAGTGGCGTAAATGTGTGACCTCGCGATTGAAGATCTGTGGTGCCTTGTATCGAAAATCCATTTGATATGGTGGTCAGGTGGTGTGTTCCGTGGTGGTAGCGATAGCGGTACAAGATGAGGAGATTTGTGCTACAGTGTTGTAGCCTTTCGTCGAAAGTCCTGATGTTGTGGCTCGCGTGGTGTGTCCCTTGGTGGTAGCAGCGGTACAAGATAGTTCCGCTGGAGGGGAGGCCATGAGTTATGTGGTCCTTGGTCTAAGAGGAGGTTTTGGGGTTGTTCAACCGTAGTCCCACATGGAAGAAATAAGGAATGACTTCCTTAAGTGGAAGCACACTCCATTAGTATGAGGTCTTTTGGAAAGGT